AGTGCACCTGCTCTGCTTTTTTTTTTTTTTTTTTTTTAAAGCTTCATGTGCCACAGAGCAACTTTTATAGGAACGGGCCCCCTCCTCCAACGCTGTATCCATTTCTCTTCATACATCCATGAATTACAAAGACTACACATGTTGCGTAGGTGACGTCACACCTTTCTTTCTTGCTGAAGCTATGGCGCCTGTGTGTTTTGTATCAGGATATACTCACACGGGCAACAGGTCTTGCTTGTTTTTTGCTGCCTGGCACATAAAAAGATCAGGAGTCGCTGGATAAAGCACAGCAGGTAAGATAACATTACATGTACAGTACAGGCCAAAAGTTTGGACACACCTTCTCATTCAATGCGTTTTCTTTATTTTCATGACTATTTACATTGTAGATTCTCACTGAAGGCATCAAAACTATGAATGAACACATGTGGAGTTATGTACTTAACAAAAAAAGGTGAAATAACTGAAAACATGTTTTATATTCTAGTTTCTTCAAAATAGCCACCCTTTGCTCTGATTACTGCTTTGCACACTCTTGGCATTCTCTCCATGAGCTTCAAGAGGTAGTCACCTGAAATGGTTTCCACTTCACAGGTGTGCCTTATCAGGGTTAATTAGTGGAATTTCTTGCTTTATCAATGGGGTTGGGACCATCAGTTGTGTTGTGCAGAAGTCAGGTTAATACACAGCCGACAGCCCTATTGGACAACTGTTAAAATTCATATTATGGCAAGAACCAATCAGCTAACTAAAGAAAAACGAGTGGCCATCATTACTTTAAGAAATGAAGGTCAGTCAGTCCGGAAAATTGCAAAAACTTTAAATGTGTCCCCAAGTGGAGTCGCAAAAACCATCAAGCGCTACAACGAAACTGGCACACATGAGGACCGACCCAGGAAAGGAAGACCAAGAGTCACCTCAGCTTCTGAGGATAAGTTCATCCCGAGTCACCAGCCTCAGAAATAGCAAGTTAACAGCAGCTCAGATCAGAGACCAGATGAATGCCACACAGAGTTCTAGCAGCAGACCCATCTCTAGAACAACTGTTAAGAGGAGACTGCGCCAATCAGGCCTTCATGGTCAAATAGCTGCTAGGAAACCACTGCTAAGGAGAGGCAAGAAGCAGAAGAGATTTGTTTGGGCCAAGAAACACAAGGAATGGACATTAGACCAGTGGAAATCTGTGCTTTGGTCTGATGAGTCCAAATTTGAGATCTTTGGTTCCAACCGCCGTGTCTTTGTGAGACGCAGAAAAGGTGAACGGATGGATTCCACATGCCTGGTTCCCACTGTGAAGCATGGAGGAGGAGGTGTGATGGTGTGGGGGTGTTTTGCTGGTGACACTGTTGGGGATTTATTCAAAATTGAAGGCACACTGAACCAGCATGGCTACCACAGCATCCTGCAGCGACATGCCATCCCATCCGGTTTGTGTTTAGTTGGACCATCATTTATTTTTCAACAGGACAATGACCCCAAACACACCTCCAGGCTGTGTAAGGGCTATTTGACCAAGAAGGAGAGTGATGGAGTGCTGCGGCAGATGACCTGGCCTCCACAGTCACCGGACCTGAACCCAATCGAGATGGTTTGGGGTGAGCTGAGTGAAGGCAAAGGGGCCAACAAGTGCTAAACACCTCTGGGAACTCCTTCAAGACTGTTGGAAAACCATTTCAGGTGACTACCTCTTGAAGCTCATAGAGAGAATGCCAAGAGTGTGCAAAGCAGTAATCAGAGCAAAGGGTGGCTATTTTGAAGAAACTAGAATATAAAACATGTTTTCAGTTATTTCACCTTTTTTTGTTAAGTACATAACTCAACATGTGTTCATTCATAGTTTTGATGCCTTCAGTGAGAATCTACAATGTAAATAGTCATGAAAATAAAGAAAATGCATTGAATGAGAAGGTGTGTCCAAACTTTTGGCCTGTACTGTATGTGTGGAACATAGCTAAGTTACCTGGTTAGCTAGCTGATGGCGGTAACGTATATTGTGCGAGACGAGAAGTGTAGTTCACTGAGCGGTTTTACACGAAATTAAATGGTGCTATGACACATCTACAACAAACTGCGGCTTTCGTAACTGTTTCTAAGAATTAAGAACTAAGAATTGTTTGTTTTCGTTACCTTTGAATAAGATGTTTATATCAAGGCATGCAGAGCAAGTCCTCCTCCATGGAGCCTGCCACGTTGTTGATTGACACATCAAACACTGGCTTTAGATAGGACCTTCTGTGTTTTTGCGTAGGCCACAATAGTTCTCTTACACACTTGGCACACAGGAGGAGTGTGAGTGCTGCAACCTCAATGCTAGATGCCACTGAATCCCACACATGGACCTTTAAAAACTGCATATTTTTTTACATTATATACTGCTTCTATCTCAGATTTCTTTTTGAGTGAGCTATTCCTTCAGGGCACTAACATCGGACCATTCATGCCTCTGTATATCTTCACTTTCATTTACAGTTAAAAACCCACGGCCCTGTGAGCCACATGACGGCAGCAGTCAGTTGAGCGAAGGTGAGAGTGATTTGACCAGCAACAAAACCTCAGCCCCTGAGAGACAAGGAGCTCTCAGCCATTCAGAGACCAAGTTTCACACTCCTGTCCCCACCAACCCAATCTCAGAATCTTCAGAGGCAGTGTGTGCACACCAGGACCGGCCCCTCGCTTTTGACCAAACAAAGCTGGCGGTGGCGGCTGCTGCGTTCAGAGGGCCGTCAGTTCAACGAGGCTCCTCTCAAACACAGAGTCTAGTCAGGGTGCTGCAGTCCGGCCTGCCAAACCTTGTTAACGCTTCATTAAAGCAAACATTTTCAACCCACAGCACAGATGCACAGAACGATAACAATGCAACAGTGGGATCTGAACAGAAGAGTGTCGTTCAAGATCATAAGTCAGACTGTGAAGCAGCAGAAAGGATACATGGGAAATCATCCAGCACTGGGACAGAAGAAGAGAGGACAGGTCATGTCCTGGGACTAGATTGTTACTCTTCTTCTGATGAGGAGTGTGACACGTGATGCTGTTTGATCATGAAATGTAATGGTCCCTCTTTCTCTACATCTTAATTACAGTGAAGTGTTTTATGAAACCTGTTGATGCGCTATGTTCATTCAAAAGCTTCGTAAGTGGTGGCTTGTAGAGACAAAATATATTTTTATATTGTTTTCGAATGTCAGTATGAGCCAACTCTGTAGTTTTAGATAGGATATTTAATTTATTCTTTTAGACATGTGAATCACAGTTTCTCAATATGAAAATGGTATACAGAGGCTGAATATTGAAACTTTGCTCATAAGAGCTGCCGCATAAGGGAAAAGATACGCTTGCAAGACAGAAATGAGAAATGTCATTCATTTCAGGCTGAGATTCATTATAATTTTCTACTCTATTTTGTAATCAGTCATCACGACCACAACTACCTCCATTATGCAACAGAAAGAAGGGAGACTGTGAGAAACAGACGGTAATTGATAGAGATACTTGCTGACTCAGTGAAACATTTTAGTCTCCTTGTCTGGTTTTATTAACTGGAGCAGCAGCGGTACAGAAAACGACCTGGTTAGACCCTAAAACTCCACCCTCCCACTTAACCCACTCTTTTCTGCCGCTGCTGCTACTGCTGCTGCTGCGAGGACCGCTTTCAGCATGACACTTCTGGGAAACAGACACATCAGCCTGTAGAGTGCAGACACCCTGTGCATTTTATGGTTAAGCTTGACGTAGTTACCCTTTTAGTTAGAGCTCTGTATGCTAACTGCAAGGTGAGTTTCCCTTCGTCTCTGCGCGGCATGGGAAATGAAACTTTTGCAACAGTGGACAAAGCAGAGGCCTGAGAGCTTACTTTGCTGGTGCCACATCACGCAAAAAAACCAAAACTTTTAGGCAATATAAAAAATTGGTTTGGCTTCACAGTTGATGTAAGTCATAAGGAATCTGAAGTTTCACTGCTGCAGCAGCCTCCCCTGCACGGCTGCATAAGTTCCCATCTATGTGGTCGGAAAGGTGCCCACCAAAGCCCACTGACGGTGCTTATTAATATTCGTCGGCAGTTTTTCTTTATTAATCGACTGATAAGAACTGATGTCTTTGGAAACTGATGCAACCACAATAAAGGAGCAGCACCGGTTGCCTATATCCTGCGAAACAAACCCAGATGTGGCAGAGAGACCACAATGGTATTAAGTCATTGAGTGGGGAGGAAAGCAGTGTGTACATGTTCAGCTTTCCTGTAAGCGCATCTATGAGGTATCACTTGGGGTTAATTCTCACCCCTGTAAAGTATTGCTGTCTCTCACTACCAGCTTTTCTCAAGCAGGAAAGCCAGTGCAGAAACATGTCCTTTTCATGTGGCATGTTTCTTCCCCCCAAGAATACACCGTGTGCTACTGAAACTGCTGTCTCACTGTTTACTAACACACTGTGTCTCATAAAGACTGGCAGAATAATAATATACTTTAATAGTAATGCTCTTTTAAATGGGTTGAATATTAAAGATGACATTCAGAATCAGAGCATGGTTCAGATGTGAAGAAGTGCAGTGACATCACAGAGAAATCCCCATCAGTGTTAAAAAGTATGTTACCTGGGTCACAAAAACTTGTTGTGTTGCATAAGAATTGCTTGGCAGGTGACTGTGTTTGTGGTTGCTCAGTCCTTTCGTGGAATTTGTGAAAAGCTCTATTTCTGGTGATGACTTGATGGTGGTTAGTGAGGTTGCGGGTCAGCTGAAGCCTTGAGCTTCTGTTCCCGTCACACTAACGGTCCTCTGTGTGCTCTGTGCAAAGACAGCACCCAAACTGTGTCTTTAAGTTCAATAAAGTTCTGTAGTTTCAAGTACAAACCATGCACTAAGTACTTATTAATGCTGTGACATGTATAAGTTAATGAGAAGTGATGTGCACTTGTCTTCAGTCCATAGTTGGTGTGGGAGGGGTTTGTGGGTGGTGAGTGACAGCTGAAGCTTGTTTTTTTAAGACAGAGGTGCTCAGACAAAAGTACACACCTCTTTCATGCAGAGGCGACAGACACACACACACTTTGTCTTACAGCAGGACCTGCACCATGAGCTGTGATCAGAGCTATCCGTTCCCACAGGTGTTCCTCGTGGATGGAGGTGGAGGTCAGCAGCACTCTGCCCAGCCACCGGGTCTCATACCCTGCTGGTCCTTCCCGCCGGCCCAGGAGAGGGTGAGGAGCCGTGAGAAAAGTCGGGGCTGCATGGGAGTCAGCCCCAGTCTGGCTACGGTGGTGCTGTTGCTGTTCCTGCTGGTGTTTGCAGCCCTGGGGTTCCAAGCCTACCAGATTGAAAAAATGAAGGACAAGCTGAAGGACATGAAACCGGTAAGGGAGCACTGTGAAAATGGAGTGACAATAAGAAAACATAGAAGAGTGGTTTGAAATTTAGTAAGTGAGAGTGTGGAGATATATGATTTTGAGGCTGTGAAACTGACCGCAGTGTAGAAGGTCAAGAAATAGTGAATTGATGACTCTGTGCAAAGTACTGAAGTAATAATTGTGCAGTGGTTGCAAAGATATAATGCCAATAGGAATAGTGTTGTTTTGTGTAGAATATTGCTTCTTGTGTAGTTTGAATGGGGCAAGGCTACAAATTAAAAAAAAAGGTGTCACTTCTCCCACCTTTGCATGGAAAGGAGGTGACAGAAAGGCGTAAGGTGGGAGAGTGGAACACTGGGCTGGAAAGTTAACACTGCAAAGTTTAGCAATTGATTCAAGGGTTATTATACTTCACCTCTGCTCTGACATTTAAAAATGCAAACCAAGGACTTAATCGCACCATCTGTGGTCACTGGTCCGAAGAGACAGGATATCCTCTCTATAACTTGTGCTCTGAGAGTGCTTCGAGAAGAAAGCACAAGTGTCTGTGTGATGTGGTATTGAGATTTCTCTGTTTCTCTTTCGTCTCACTAAAGGAAAAATCCATAGCTATGATGAAACAACTTCAGGCACATAATGAGTTCAGTGCACCTGAGAAGCAAATTGGTAAATATAAACACCTCTCACCACACATAAATTACTCCCAGCAAGATGTTCCCAGTGAAGTCAAAGAAGAGGTGATGTGACTCTAATCTAACGGTTGTTGCAGGTCATAAACATGAGATGAAAAGAGAGGAGGAAGAAGACAGGACTGCAGCACATGTGATAGGTAATATAATATTAAAGATGCAACCTATACTCTGAATCTCTATCTTAACATCCAGCTGAAAGAGGTAACATCATTCCTCTTTTCTTGCAGGGCGCATTGAAAGTGAAACATTCCCAAAGACTTTGCGATGGAATTGGAAGACAGGTCAGGCGTTCGTATCTGGAGCAGTGGCTTACAGGCCTGAAGATGGTGCCCTGCAAGTAAACCAGACTGGACTCTACCACATTTACTCTCGAGTGGAGTTGCTCTTTAAGGGCTGCTCCCCCACATCCTCTTTCGATCACACTGTGTTTGTGAGGAGAGTGGGGCACACCTCACCCCTGACCCTGATGGTGGCCCACAGAGCAGGTTTCTGCTCTCAGCGGCTGGTACACTCCTGGACCACAGAGAGTTACCTCGGCTCTGCCCTGCAACTGCAGAAATCCGACAGAGTTTTTGTGAATGTATCTCACCCCACCCTTCTTAGTCACACACATTACGCCAACTTCTTTGGTCTCTACAAGATCTAAAGGCTTTGTGTCTTAGTGTAGAAATTTTACCCAATGAAAGAATGTAAACTGGTCAGAGTGTCTCTTAGTCTGACTCATCACTTTGATGGCTGAGATGAATGTGATTGCTGCACTGAACAGCATAATATGAAACAGTCTGCAGTGTTAAAACTCAGGGAAAATTTTGCACATTCTCTTTGTTGCCAGCTTTAAAATTAGTAGCGAAATTCTTAGAGGCAATCTCCACACATATGTATAAACAAATATTGTGCCTTTTATAAATGTTGAGAGAGTCAGTTAACACTACCACTAGTTTAGGTGTAGCAGTTTTAAAATATTTATTTTAGTGTTGATCTGACATGTATGATGTCTAAATGTGTAAGAACGTGTTATGTAATGGTTGTTGGAAGTAAATAAAGATAATTTAAGCAGTTTTATTTGGTGAAACAGAGTATTGCTCATGTAAAACACCCACACGAGTTTTGTTCATGACCACTGGAAAGTATTTAGATAAAGACACCAACTCAAATGTGGTTTTGCTCCTGATGATGAACTTGATTTCCATATATTCCACTGAGGTGCAGCAGAAGTCTAGCTTGGTGTTTTGAAAGATACAGTTAAACTCTCAAAAGCAGTAGCTATGTCATGTAGGTATACAAAAAACAATCTGGGTATTTAAAAGCTGAAAATTAAGCTTACAGATGACAGTGCAGTGCACTTGCATCGTTGCAGTTTTTCTCTCGCAGCTTTAACACCCTCATTGCGCTGTGTATAGTACACCACAAACATTCATGTTCGTGCAGTGTGTGTGAAAAGATGTGCAGGCTGGGCACAGATGTGGAGACAAGACAGGGGCAGGTTTGACGTGTGTTTCCTTCCTGTGTGAACTTCATGAGGGTCCTGCTTGTGCGCACATTGATTTTTGTGAAAGAGTTCATGCTTCCTTTAATCCACTTGGCTTCCTTCTAAACTGTAAGTTCATTTCTGTCTGCAGACCCGGAGTGTCTGGTAACAAGAGCAGAATAATTCTTTTTAACACGGACAAAGTTACATGTTTCAGTCATTTCAGCCTAAACCACAAGTTCCCCACTGAATTTCAGTGGTTACTGTTCAACAGAAACAAAAAAAGACCCCCTGTGTTCTCTTTCCCATCAGCATGTTACTACAGCAAGTTGATTCATGAGTGATATCGGGTAAAGGTGACCTGTGTTCATGCCTAGAACACATTTCAAGAGGGAAAAAAGCAACATTTCACAAAACATATCAACGGTTAATCTGTTATGTGAAGCTTTACTCAGTTATCGTGACACCTTTTTCAGTAGAACCACAGATTTGAGAGTGTTCAGGGTTTTACTCAGCAACTTTAATAAGATAACTCAGTCTGAACACTTTGTATGCAATCAACGGACTTGTGGTTGCATCTTGTTCCGATCACTTTTCACTCATCACGATACAGGCTGTTTAAAGTGAGACCCTGCAAGAGATCTTTCTTTTGACTCAAAATTTATCACCTCACTTAAAAAGGGGGCTGTAAAAACTTGTTTTGTATCTGTTTCCATTTCAGTCAGCCTGAAACAGCACCCTGTCAAGCGTGTTGGAATCAGACGAGGCGGCATGGCAATCCTCTTATATCGATTTTGATAATAATGGTCATTTTTGTATGCTGTGCCAGGATGAAATGTGCAGTGTTCCATGTGAGTAACACTCATTATTCATGGACATTTCAATTTAGCAGTTTGATGATTTTTTTTTTTTTCACCCTTCCTCTTAATTAGAATACAGTAATTTATGTTTTTCTATGATCCCACCTGTGCACGCTGTAAGTTTCTATAGCGTATGTCCATTTGAAACTGAAGTGAAGCCAGTGGATAAAGACGTAAATAAGCACTTAACTTACGCAGACCGTTTGAAGGCCAGACCAAATGTTGCAAGGCAGGTTGTTTACTGCAGAAGTTAAAAACCACACAGCGAGATAAAGTTAAGATAGCATGATTAGAGGGAACTGTTTGGTTACTTCACAAGATATGCACTGAAGCTTCATAAACCACTAAATGGAAGGTGAAATATCCGGTTAAGCAATCACTTCAGCGTCTAAATGTGACATATAAATGTTTCGCTCGCTGCAGCTCCAAAGCTTATGTGACATTTGCACAAAAGTTAAAGCCACGATTCATAATAGAGAAGCTCATGTTTGCTACAGGTGTAAACTTGGAGTTGAAACACTGGTTTAGAGGGTGTGAGGGGGCATTTTTTCAGGTCTATCTTAAAGCAATACTGACATATGTACATTCAAAGGGTTACTGGTTGCTGTAGTTGTTTCTCATGTCCCTATACTGGCCGTGAAGTGATCCCTTACTAATAGAAATCCAATGGAAGAGTTTGACGTTGTTTTTCTGTGACAAATAAAATTCAAACAAATCTAATATGATATAATAAAGAGGGATTTGTATTTCTGAAAACAAACTTTCTAAGATATGCACTCGTACTAACAGCAGTTGAACTAGAATGTATTCTACTTCTTACATTGGAATTTTGCTATTAAATTGGACTTTTGAACCCGTCATTTAAAGTTAAAATTTTGCTTCAAAACTGAGGTATTTCCTGTATATATCTCGCTTCATTTTTTAGATATTATTTGTGTAATGTGTAACGTTGAAGAAGCCAGCTCTTGCACTTCATCAGGACTGTGTGGGCATGGATTCATCAGATATGACAATGGCCAGACAACCCACCAACTGTCATCAAACTCTGACTCAAATCCATCACCATTTTCCAACCAAACTCAACCCACTTGAAACCAACAAGAACACATCAAAGACAAAAAACAAAAAAACAGAAATACAGAATAATCTGGAATTAGCAAAAAAGAAAGAGATCTAACTGTGGTAGAAAATAATATGTTAACAGTTCCAATACTTGTAATAAGAAGGTGATTTAGAAAATATGAGCCTTTAAAGGAATCTCAGCACTACATCATATACAGTGATATTTTGGACAATGGTGTACTGTCATGGTAATCATCAGTGCTATATCGTTGGCAACTGGACTTGCTTGTGTTTCTTGAAGACGTTCCAAGAAGCTTCTTCAGTTCTACATGACTGGTACAGAGTTGCAGGCTTTAAACCCTGTGTGGGTCTGAACCCTTGCAGAGTCGTAGGGGTCACATGTGAGCTCTTAGTTTCAGAGTCGTTAAGGTGAGGTTGCGGATGAGAGGCGAAAAGTCTTCAAGAAACGCAAGCAAGTCCAGCTGCCTACGATATAGCACTTACGAATGGCGTACTTCCAACGCGAAGACGCTTTTTCTGTTTCAATATAACAATGGCCCTGCACACAGTGCTGGGTCCATAAAGAATTGTGTTTCCAAGTTTGGTGTGGGACTGGCAGGTGCAGCGCCCTGACCTCAACGCAGACTTAGAGCCTGTTCACACGGGGCTATTAACATGAACCCTGTGATCGGATCACAAGTGCACAGCTCAAAGTCTGTTCACACCTGGGCTTAGAATGCGTCTCCACATGCACCTCCAGTCACCGCTTGTGATCGAAACTCAATTCCCCGTCCTACATGCAGATAAACTTGTATATAATTGTCATTTGCATAGACCAAATGTATGTTTTTTACCTGCAGCAGATTTGTGGTGCTATACACTCACTGGTGAGAATCCGCCCACACACATATAGTGACTGCTGGTACGTACTGGTTATTAACAGGTTTAACAACAGAGTCAAGCCTTGGAGGCGTCGGTGTGAGTCTGCTGGGGTTGTTTAACACCTGCTGCTGTGTAAGCTCATGGTAACCGGTCAGACGTTAAACTGATTTTTCCCCAGGAAAAGAGCAGCTTCAGTGCAGCGTCTACTGGAAGGAGTTGATAGGCAAGAATGTCAGCTGAGTGGCGACCCCTCCATGTGGCCCAGGACATATGAGCACACACACTGCTGAAAGATTGTGGCCATTTGTGGCCCAGGCCACCTCAGATGCAGTCTAAGCCAGTGGTTTCCAACTGGTGGTGGGTCACGGGTCCACAAACGTGTCAAGTTTGTAAAGAAAAAAAACACACACTGTACATTTAAGTACAGTGAATTTCCAGCACAGAGTTTTTATCTGAAGTGACATATCAGCTACAGCTACTTGACAGAGACAGTAAACTAGCTTGACGACATGGCCAAACGCAAGTATGATGCTGAATGTACTGAACAGTGTGGACCTTGAGCTAATGCCTGAGGAGAAATCTGGACACCATGGCTAGACCAGTTGGGAACCACAGGATGTCAGGATGCATTGAGGACGCATTTGATGCACTGCCTCCTGTACTTTAAGCTGTCCACTTGTGATCTGATAACCCATGATGCATCTTAATACCAGGTGTAAACAGTGTCATAGAGGCAGAACTTATAAACCTCTAAACATCAGTGGTTGACCTCACTAATGTTCATGTGGCTGAACAGGAGCAAACCTCTGCACACAGGTTCAAACACCTGATGGGCAAACTAAAATCCAGAGGAGTGGAGGCAAATCAATGCACATAGTCTTAGCGTGACCTATAAACATTCATATGGATTTAATCTACAGATGTCCACATATTTAAATATGCAAGAGCCCCCTGCACATCGACAAGCTGCAGATGATGCAGTATGACCCATGTTCAGCCACAGTGATGAGATAAAGCCGGGTACCAGCTGCACCTTGTCTTTAGCTCCATCTATCAAATATTTTATGAACTGCATTTGATGTGACTGAAGCAGCAAGACATAAAGACAGACAACGAGAAATAAAACTTCTTATCTGAAATATGAATTATTCCTGGGCACTGCGCTGATGTTCTGCTATAACTACCAATGTCTTGCTTCATTATTACAAGAAAAATTTTGTTCTTTTTGTTCTCTATCATGAATGTGGACAGGTTTACTTAAACTTCCAGATCTCTCACTCTACCCTTCTTTTATTTAGTCTTCAAACACTAAAAGATACGTCTGGTGTTTAAACCTATATTTCATTGCTTGTACATGATTAAAACAAACGTTAAACTCGATGGCACCACATGCCGTAAAATATCAGTGTTGACAAAGCTCAATAAGTCCTTGTCATGTATGTTGTGAGATGTAAGGACCCATCAATTTAAGACAAACTTTAACACAAAACTTTAACTAAATCCTCCAAATAAATGTAAAAAATCTTTTTTTTTTACATGTCATTATTTACTTATTATTATTATTTACATTATTTATTTTTATTTTTACATTTGCAGGTGTTTTTTTCTTTTTTCTTGAGTAAAGCAAGCAAAACTTAATTCATATAACACATTTCATTCCAGGTAGAAGCACAGTGCGAGGTAGAAGTTGCAGGCACAAAACAAAGCCAGTAACAATCCACTGAAACTATAAAATGAAACCTCATGAAATAATTAAGATGAAGAATAAACCAATAAA